GACCCACTATCCTTCCGATGCAGGTTTTGGTAGACACGTAGCAGCGCTTCTACTTTATCAACGTCGTCTACAGCCTGGGTACCGTCCTCCATGGTTAGACAGCCGACCACCTCTCTTAGAGAAGCCTTTGATTGGACATAACTGTAATAACACTTGGGATTTGTTTTCGCAAATTTGGCCAACCTAAGCTCATATGAGTACTTCGCCTGCCGCTGCAACTTAATAGCCATGTTTCGACACCTTTTGTATTGCAGCCAACGTCGGAAGCCCCGAGTTTCTTGATATTTTCTCCACTCAGCATTGCGCCTCTTTATCGCTCTATCAATTTTTCTCCTCCACCATCGGGGTTTCCCAAGATGTCTCCTGGGGCGTAGAGGAGCAAATTCGTTCAGCAACTGTACAAGTCCACTTTTGAGTAGAAGCCACCTCTGTTCCAAAGTGGCCTTGTCCTGTTCAGGGATCCAAGTGATCTGAAGGGCTCGATCCCGCAGCTTCGTAAAATCAATACGATTTAAATCCCTTCCCATTCGACGGTTCTCTGCAAGCCTCGGTGTGTCCAGAGAAAAGGTCAAAACACAATGATCACTCTTACCTATGGGTGGCTCCACGCATAGGTCAATCAAGTGACCATGTCTGGCGATCACGATATCAAGGGTTGAAGGGGTACTCCCAGTACGACTCCTAGTCGGAACATTGACGTATTGCTCGAACGCATTTACATGCATCCAATCTACTAGTTCCTTCTCTAGAGTACCCACCCTGTTTTCAGCAAGCTGCCAATCAGCATGGGGAAGGTTTAGGTCACCGACGATCAGAAAATTAGGTGCGGCCATTGCCGCCTGTCTTAGTAACGTACCAAGATCCCTGTCCTCTTCTCGCGTGGAGGATGGGCTACGATAAACACATACTATAATCTCCAATCTACCCCATGCTCTTAGATAGCAGGATACCACCTGAACGTTAGCAGAACTCATGGTAAATGGAGCCTCCCAGTGTTTATATTGGCACTTTATAAGCAAGAGTACTCCTCCACCAGTCTGATACCCGGGCCTGTCAGCCCTGTAGCACGCGAAGTCTATAAGCAGATCACCAATAAGGTCATCTGGAGAAAGCCAGGACTCCGACACAGCGGCCACATCAACATGCTCACAACGCGTCACTAACTCTCCCCATTTGTTACGCACACTACAGCAATTAGTGTACCACACGCTTAGTCTCTCCGGACGCGGTTGTTTCCCCTCGGACGTAGAGCCCGAGGGGATAACCCGTTTTTTGTACCATTTCATTTCCATCGGCTGCCTGAGTCGATGAATCAACGCTGGGCTGCTGTAACGCATTACGGGATAATCCCTTTCCTGGCTTCGCCCGCCTGGGCTTGCTGGATAAACTCCCGACGGGTTTTCTCCCATTTACCTGAGTCGACCTAACAGCACTGCACTTCGGATTTTCTGTACGGTCCAGTTTAGGTGTGGCAAGTTTTTCATTTTTCCTATCATTTTGTGAAATGGGCATACCACCCATGGACTTTGGTGCCACTACTATCGAGCATGAGGCCTCGATAGTTTTTGAACGCACCGCCTGAAGTTCCATTGCCACATCTTCACTATCCTCTTCCGCCATAGAGGTGTGATTCACATTTCCATCAAGAGCAAGTTTCTCCACAACCAAATGCAGGCCACGAGTTATCTCACTGGCGTCTTGTGAAGGGGGTTGTCCAGACCAGCTGACTGCCCTTGCCACAGGAGAGCAGTCGCTAGAGTTTTGCTTAGGTGTCTGCGTAACGTGAGGCTCACTATCGTGAATTCCAGCGTGTGAGACCGCAGATTCGTTAGCCAAGCTGGTATTAGTACCTTCTAACCGGCTCAGCCGAGGGGCTTTAGCCTTCGAAGTTAGTGTGTCCGGTGCTATTTGATACCGACCATTTGTCTGACTTGCAACCAACCCAGCCCTGTTAAGTAGAAGGTCCCGGTGTATAGGGTTCCGAAACTCAACCAGGATAGGCCTTGCATAACCTTGTTGGCGGAGCATACTTGTTTCTCTCCAGCTGCCAACACGATGTACTCTTTTGATACCAACGTATAACGGTATTCCGGCTATACGAAGGATATCGTGCACTCGCCTTCTATCTAGGTCCCGTCGAGTTTTAGCTTCCCGTATGACTGGCTCCTCCCTATTGTAGATAAGAACGTTTCGTTGTCTACCCATAGCAAGTTCTGCACTTCGCAAGTAACATTCCAATGAAGACTGCAACTCTTCGACTTTTGAACGCAATGTCTCAATTAGCAAGCTCTGGTCACGAATCAACTTCTCCGCAATGTCTAGTCTATGCACACAGTTTCTACTAGCAGAATCATGCACAGCTGAGACATGAGTAACTGGATCAAAAGTCCGATCGTGTATCAAGCGAGAACCAATGTCTGCTAAGCACACGCAGTGGAAGCAAATCCACTTTAATTGGGGATGTCGGGCATAAAGATCAATAGAGTCCTGGTCTAATCTAGAGCAATTGTTATGGTACCATAACAAGCATCTGTCGCACTGAATTCCCTCTTTGACCTCAACGCCACAAGTGTGCTCACCACATTTATAGCCAGCCACCGATGTCATTGCGAATAGCACGTAACAGCCACGTATAGAATAATAAAAAGCTAGGTAGTTTGGTAGGATTAAATGACCAAATTGATGCAGGTATGACGGCGTAAGATGAATAAATAGTCACAACAAGTTAATACAATAGAAAATACAACAATATTAAATAAAACAATAAACACAGCGAATTAACACGACCAAAAGGAACAAAGAGAAGCAATACTGGAACGAACTCACGCGGTTAACGAAGATCCAAGATATCTTGGATCAATATTTGATGGAGCAGAGTAAAGATTTCCCACTCAGTCACTTTAGATCACGCTTCCAAGCCAAATTTGAAGGTAGAAATTTCAAGATAGAGCTTTTTCAAAATTTCAATGCGCGCGGATTGCCGGGGAGATGTTTCACATCTTGGATGTTTCCTTAAAGAGAAAACCAGATGAATTGCTAATACAGCCGATTTGTCACAAGCGCAGCTGGACAGGGCAGTATTTAAACTTTAACAATCACTGTCCGATGAATTATAAGCGATCCTTGGTTCGCACCTGCTTCACGGGAGCGTGCCGAATCTGTTCCGAAGAGTCAATCACGAGTGAACTGCAGCGCACTGTATCAACGCTACGCGATAATGAGTACCCTAGTAAATCTATAGCGATATGAGGAGGAAAAGTTCCGAAACTTGAAACAAATGGATGTTCTAAAAAAGAAAGTATTTAAATTGTTTTGGAACAAATGAGCAACTGAAGAAAGTATTCCTCACCCTACCTTACAACGGGGAACAAAATGATAAGAGGTTCTGCCTGTTGCAGAACTCAGTCCTTCAGGGACAAGCGTTTTATTCGGCAAAGACAGCTCAGCGAAAATTACAGCATGTTTAACAAGCCAAACTCCTCGATATAAATTACAGGTTCAAGTCCATAACTAACGAGCCTTCTGAGTCGATGAGGTTCCTCCTCTGATTCAGTTAAACAAACGGTGAATCACTCACACGAATATCGGCCAATCCGAGTCCAGTGATCGAATCCGTCACGTCCGCCTTCCATTGGCCGTCTGACTCGCTCGGTTGGTCCAGCTGCTCACTCTAATCTGATACTACCATCACATTGTCACCGACTACGGCAATCCATAAAGAGGGGCCATTACGCAGCTGAGCTAGTGCTACTGCGCCAATCCAATCTAGATAAACCTCTCCCAAGTCACGGCGTCCCGCGTTTACCAATTTAACTGTACGTGCGGTAGCATATACATTGGTCGGACTGAGAGAAGGTTATCTACAAGGATTATGGAGCATGTTCCGCGAGGCCTAGCGGTGAGCAGCCCTAACCTACCTGCCAGCTCAATTGCCCGATACCTACTCGATTGTAGTGCGTGTCAAGACCCCCGTAATTCATTCAAGATTGTCAGTAACCAGAACAGTCCACCACTGCTCCGGTTTGCCAAGGCTTCCGCAATCCAGCTTCTGAAACCCAAGTTGTGTAAGCATGTTGACGTCGGGTTCAGCTTAGCCTTGCTATGGTAAGGATTAGCCAATGGAAGCGAGGGCCCCGATCACTCCAGGTTCAAATTAGTTGGCTTATTGATTCCATATCACATGCACTCACTAAACCCTCCTACTGTACTACTCTTGAGTAGTAGGATTTTACGTGTACGTTTGTAAGCGACTGATTGGAAATGCATGAAATAAAGTGAATTCAGTCTATCTCGTGAAATGCTGGTTGTCCTTGATTTGTTGAAATTTCTCAGGGGAATTTTGTGCATGATTCCATGTCATATGCACTCACTGTATAAGCGACTGATTGGTTATCCACGAAATAAGCTGAAGTCAGTCTGTCTCGCGAAATGCTGGTTGTTCTTTTTTTTGAAATGAATTATTTCATATTCTGACATTTATCATACTGCAGTTTGATATTCGTGAAAATTCCTTACCAACTGGTTTGTTTCCTCTCGGAAAACAGATCCAGTCGTTGTTCCGATGCACACACTTGTCAGTAAGTCGTGAACAGGGCATGCTTCTTATGCTACGAAACGCCGTAACATTTATCAGAGGCTCTCCATTTGATCGCAGTACTGTACAAACTTTGGGGTCGATGCCATCTCTTCCTCGTTGACTTTGATTCTTCTCTAATATACTTCATCGTGGAACGAAGGTATCCATGATGTGTGGTTTCTTTATTTCCGACTTACAATCTCCACTGTCCGTGTCTGAATGCGCAATCTAGACTAACTTTGGGCTGTCTGGTCGTGTCCCGCACAACCCTTTGCGGCTAACTGACAGCCAGCCATCTCTATGAACTATCGATGGACAGTTTCCGATCAATGTTGTTAGCTGTGTCGCTTCCCGTGTATATTCCATGTAGATACGAATGTTTACTGTATTTCCAAAACAAAACTATCCTTCCGCTTTTTTTCAGTCGGTGTGACTGATTCTGAAACTCATTATTCCCAATGGCGTCGAGTCTCACGTCCTATGGAGCCTCCAGGAAGCCTTAATGAAATATTCAGCAAGTTCATCAAAGGTGCGTTGTGCCTTGCCAGCTCACTTTTTCCCCTACAAATGTGAGGATATGGTCTTGTACTTTTTTTCGCCAAACGGCTTCTAAGTATCACACTTCAAATTTTGATCCATGTCCGCGTCAAGCGCAGGCGGTAGAAGACAGAAGAGAAAGATATATCTTTTAAAAGCGATTGTAATAGGATGGCGATTCAAATAATGCGCAGCACAAATAATTCGGTGGTTCATGGCTAACATATCTTGATCGCCGCCAAATTTTTCTGTTTTCACGAGACTACACGCTGTTCTACACATACCTAAAAGCAAATAGTCTCACTGACACCAAACTTTTTGTGACCGGTGACTCCAACAACATAGAAGAGCTTGCGAGTATTGCCAGAGTATGCAGGTGCCTCCATTTCTGGTGTACGCTGGGACCACCGCGTTACGAACTTACTGCCCAGACTGCTTGTTATTCCGACTAACACAACGACTCACTTGTGATCGGATTCCGTTGGGAAATCTCTGTGGCGGCCAAATAGATCCGGGGAGCACATGGAGCCGTAGATCTTCTAAACGTGTCCATTAAGACCGCGGCTTGCCTTTCCGGAACCGTTCATCGCCTTCCACCTGAACGGGCAGTGTTTATTATCTTGCGGTGAGTCACAGCTGAGTGCATCGGCCAGGGAAGTTTGATAACTCTGCTGAACCGAGGGATCAGCTGGTCTGTTCGTAGCAATCTTATAGTACCTCGTTTTCTGGGACTCTTCACAACTCATGTAGATGTTCGCAAAGACCAGCGCGTGATCTGAGTCAAGGATGGTAGACCAGCTCGATTTGCAATCCCACACACTACCCCGCCATCCAAACTTTATCGTGACGTGATCAATTTGAGACTGATTGCGTTGCATGACATCTCGTATGCCTGAAGCTATTGGTCGGCGAAACGGACGATTGTCTTCACATAGCGTGAGAAGTCTTTCCATTTTTGACAGTTCTCATCGTGCACATGTTGACCACTGAAGTGACTTTCGCATTTTAATAGACGATCGGCCCATGCGTTGAAATCCCTAACAAGAACAACACTATCGGATTTGTAAATTCTGTTCTAGAGCGAATACATTTCACCCTATAAGTCGTCATTGACCGGGTTCCAAATGCAGTCAGTTGAAGCGTACACGGCGATCACACAATTTGCATCTCTACTCGCGACGTCTGCTGTTCCTACATAAGTCCCGAAGCTTGTCCGCACACATTCGACTGTTAATCCAAAATTGGTCCTGCGGTACGGCCTGGCTTTGCTATTTAGTGCAATATCAACGCCAGCCAAATCCGTTACGGCCACTTGTGGGTCACCAGGTCTATTTAGGTGAAGCATGGCTCCGTTTTTGGTTGCGTTTGTCAGCTTGATCACGGTGCTGGGATCTTTCAGTCGGGTTTCTGAAAGACAGTGAACATCGATGGTGAGACGTTCCAATTTATGCATGAGACCAGCAAGTTGCCTGGTCCTCATGAGTGTACGTACAGTAAAGCATATTTGGCGGAACGTGTGTCGGTGCCCAAGGAGGGCCGCTGTTTGGACTCTACGTGCATCGGCTAAATCATCGGGAGTAGAATCATTGAAACGTACATAGGACGGTAGAGGATAAGTTATGCATGAATAAGTAAATGATTATTAACAACAATTACACAAGTGGAGTATGACGAAGGTATATGGGTAATGGAATAAAAACATGTTGGGCACAGTACAACAAGTGAACCATCCTTGTTGTTCGCTTTAATTCACACCTACCGTGGCTGGGGCCATACTGAGCTTTGTTCATTCTAGACTGACTGATCCTTCGTTGCCCATCTAGCTCGTGTACTTCTGACCAACTCACATGGGCAGCACTTTACAGACCTGTTCACTGATCCCGAGTCGGTTCCATTCTTCCAGTTAGTCATCTGCCACTGGTTTCTTCGGCGCACACGTGTTGTTCACCCCATGTTGTCTGGGACAATCTGTCCCCTCCCCCGCGCTTCATTTCCTCCCTACTTCCCTGAGCCAATTCTGTTTTGTCTACCAGCTCCTTGCAATTGTGCTCTGCTGGCGTGGGTGCGTTTACTTGACTTTCTCTCCGTGGCCTTGCGTCGGTTCCGTTAAACCAAACTATCAGCTAAAATCATATTATGGCTGTGCCAATAATCGAATTTCTCTGGTCCCATTTTATATCTTGATGCATATAGCTGTAGATACATTAGTGAGTTTCGTATTACATAGGTTCGCAGTGTTCTATAGAGGTAAACGTTTCTGGTTGCTGCATACGACAATGAGCGCATCCGCTATCCAGTGAAGATGGTTAGGTTTGGAGACAGCAGTACCATCCAGCTAGAGAAATGGACCCTAGCGCGCAAATCACCATAGAGCTTTTAATCCTTCGAAATAGATAAGTAGTATATTTCTCGACAAAGCGAGACGCAGTCCAACTCGTTGGTCTGGTCAGCGCAATCGCATAAAACAGATAACTGAACGCTTCTCAGCACAGTTTTCTAACGAATTTATAATAAATTGAAGTTGAATGTATCCGAAGGATTGATAAGTTAAGAACAATAACCAAAGGCGACATGGCCAAATGTTCACGTAAAGTAATATGTCCATCCGTGGAACCGTCTCCTGGAGACCTGCTTCCATGCAGGGTATTCCGTCGGAAGGTTTCACTCGTACCTTTATGTCCCATTTGGCCATGTGCCAGTGTGGCCCAATTGCAAGCATACCAGCACCTTTTTCACATCTTTAGGGCTTTTTATGTGCATAAGCCATGGGCTATCAAGCCATTCAGCTCATTCTACTATTCGGTTCAGTTCAAGCATGACACTTTTTTATTTTTTTGACGCTGTTGAGTCAGTGGCATTATGCCTTGCATAGATATGATTGTTAGCCTGAAATCGTCAATCCATTACCTCAGGAGATCAGCCCAGTCGTGGCCAACAGAGAAATAAGAAAAAATATAAATGCGTAGAATTGAAAACAGTAAAAACAAATAATTCAGCTCATAACATGATGAGACACCGTTCATCACACATGATGTATTTTCACATCATGCTATGCTTCTCTTAACAAGTTCCGCCAAAAGAAACATCAATGGCTGTGTCGACGTTTATTGGTAAATTCTACTTCTCTAGGCACTAGTTCGTACGGAGTTACGTGTCAAAAATATATAAGATAATAACTAATAATTGGATTATGGTGTATGGTAAAAGCAGTATCGGTAAAAAAACTGTGAATGTAGAAAAAAACCATAGCTGTCGATAAAGGTATGTAATTTCTACTATTAAGACTAAATGGAGAAGAGAGGCTTATCTGGCTATTAATTGACTGGTGTTAGTTTTCTTGAGTTGCACTGGTCGTTCATCTGACTCGGTTTTGGTTGTGTTCAGCATTTTTAGTGCACATTATATGCCATTTGGCCCTTTCCTTCTCAGGTACGTTTTTCTTACGTATAGCTCAATTGCTTTGTCTATCGTGAGAAATTTGTTTATTCGACTCCGGAATATACGTGGGAACACACAATAGAAGCCTGTTCCAGATATTTGCATATTTATTAAGGACGAACTCGTATTTTAGTGCACGACGCTAATTTTTGTAGGGTGGATTCTTCGTTGCGTGTTTCTTAACGAGAGATGTGTTGTAATTGGGGAGAATAACTTGACACATCGTAGATGAGTGACAGTTTGAGCTTAAACCTTTTGAACCAAATCGCATCAAGTTTTAACGTCCTACAGCGTTTTGTGTACGTAAGTCTGCTACTGGAACCAAGAACCAATCTTGTAAATTTACGCTGAATGCGCTCTAGTGCCAATTCATCTCACTGCCGTGCGTCACAATAAATTAAAGAACAATACTCTAGCATTGAGCGTGTACATATCTTGAATAATCTAAGGTTAGTCGCTGTTGAATCGAGCTGTTGTGAGTTTCTTTGTCCTTGCCTCTCCCGCATAGCCCCCTCCAACCACGATCTCATTTCCTAGCATATTATGAATTTCGCATAATATAAATTTATCTGCTGCACAATACCCATTGTTACCTTTCTGGAACGATTCCCATCCATTACAGATGCCACTGGCGTGCCTCTCTTGTGTTTTTTATTTTCTAATCTATTGCGACACAATAGCTGAGGGTTTTCCCACATTAACCTAACGTATCTAGTGAGTTGTACATCGAGCAGCCTAAGGACCCTCACATTTTCATATTAACCTTCGCAGCGAGACTGGACTTTAGCGTGGTGCGATGGTATGCGTACCCCCGTGATCCATTGAACTTCTCTTGGCGGCACTTTTCAAGTGTCTTCAGAGCCATCCATACCAGACAGATCAATTGTTAGGAGTCAAACTAACACAGTTACACAATCCAAACCTCTTCAGAGGTTGTGGAGAGGTCAATGGCTCCCTTCCTTTAAAACTTAGCCTTGGTTGACGACAGGTCTGCGGGTTATAAGCTCACACCTCAGTTACGGTAGAGCACGAGCGCCATACATCATATCTGACAGCGAGAGTGCACCTCTGGGTGCTATGCTCGCCTCAAGCGAGTCAGCCCTTGGCCAAATTGGTGAAAATCCGCCAACTCCTACCTGCGGCTGGCCGTGCTCGCAGGTGGGTAACGTAATACGGTCGTGCAACACATTTTCACTGTTCCAAATCTTCGAAGCTGTGTGCCAGGCCTGGAGCAGATCCCAACTGGTCTATGCAGTCACACTCCCGAGCTCGACTTGCTCCCCATTGCCTTGTAAATCAGGCTATTAAGCCAAAGGCCCCAGGTGGAGTCCATTAAGAGAACCTCGGAATCCCCCACTGTCTTGTGAATCATACTGTTGAGTCAAAGACCAAAGGCAGGGCACCTCGAACAAAACCTCTCTCACAGAATAGGCAGCCGTAGAGTATCGTCTGCCCTCTCGACCTCGCCGACAATACTCACTCTTCTTATTTCTGTCTCCCCTCTCAAGTATCTTCCCCGCTGACCTCGCTGCTGCTGCCGTCGATACATATAGC